ATATCTTTTAGCCTTTTGTTTCTGTTCATGGAGTTTTCTTGGCAAAGATACTGGAGTGGCTTGCCAGTTCCTGCTCCAGGTGGATCACGTTTAGTCCGAACTCTCCACTATAACCTGTCCGTCTTGGGTGTCCCTGCACAGCATAGCTTATAGCTTCTCTGAATTACTCAAGCCCCTTCACCACGACAAGGGAGCAATTCATGCAGGGATTTTTGTTATATACGATGGCCAAAATCCTATTGTACTTTTCCACACAAATAAGGTCAACATTTTTGCATTTCCTGGACTGGACCCCATGTGCCTGGGCACACGGCCCAGGTGCACAATCAATTCTTCATTCAGGAGTAAACCAGGTGCACAACAGAAAGCCCAGGAAACAGGTCAGGTTGCTTTTACAACAAACTTTATGTGACAGTGCATGGCAACAGGATTCTGGCCCATTTATCATGGCTGAAAGTATAAAAGATGCTCTACAGTAGAAGACTCTTGCAACAGATTCTTATGACAGATTGGCAAGGGTTCATTCTCTCCCTCTTTCCTTCCCTCTCATATCTTCTGTCACAAGGATACGTCGAGCCTGCCATATGATATTCATTACATTTATATGTTACTGCTTTGATTATGAGGTTTTCTGGAAACCTTACCCTGAGTCAAATGATTTATTGTTACCAGATTCCCCATCCCTCCCTCCCTTTCCATTCAGTTTGCTGGGATTAATCTTTATCGAGTGGAACTGGAGCGGGTTTCCTGTGGCGATCTCATTATAGCCGCAGGACCGTCACCCTTTGCTACACCACTGGGAGGCCACGAGGCTGCGAACATTCCTCCAATTACCTGCACATTGTCAAGTGCTCGCTGGCATCACCAGCGCAACAGAGCTGTTTCCACCCAGCCGCAGCTTTGAGGCAGAACAAGACCGAAATGAGGCTCTAAACTGTGAGGTGAGTCAGAAAGAACCAGAAGACCCACAAGAACATCCCTTTACCCAAAGATAACACGGCCTCCCCACTGCCTCGCCTTAACCACATACCAGGTCTGACCTGTGTACAATGTGCAGTGGGAACAAAAGGCTCATTTGCAAAATGGTACAAGTTGTATTTTTACTCATTTCATTCCTTCACTTCTTCCTAAACCCAATGGAGCTTCCAGGAAGCATTTGTTTTGGAACCAACACAAAGCAGAAATGGGAAGCATGGCAGGAGAAAGGGGGTTAGCCTCGGACAAGGTTAAATGCATGCTGAGTCGGCAGAGTTGGGGAAGGGGTTAAGGTAGGAAAGAGCAGGGACAGTGGAAGAGGAGCCACCCCCTCGGAGATGATCAGCAGGTGGACAAAGGCTTTCAAAACTGTCTGCATAGAGAGAGGACAGATCGGTTTTTAGAGACTGAGAGGCTGGGAGGGCAAAGCAGAACCAAGACAACACCAACTGTTTTTATTCAGAGGGACTGGAGGTTGACTCCAAGTTTGTAAATGTTTGATAGTTATTAAGTGGATTAAACCAAATTACAGGCCAACGCTGTATTCTCTGATACCACTCTTTTGGGGCATGAGCAAACAAACCAAATCTTCAATCATTCGTGTGTTCTCATTTGACTCAACAAGGAAACTTTGGGGGTTTTTTAAACCTTCCAAATGAGCCATTTATATTAAAACATGGTTTGAAGTGTTTTATCCTGGATTGTTCCTGAACTTGTAACTAGCCCTGAGATTTCTCAGTCTGGACAAGATATGTGTTTGTCCAGTTGGAAAACCATGACATTGCTGTGATGTAGGAATCATTCCATTTGTTAAAGAGCTTCTCTGCCTCAATATGTATGTATATATAGGTTAGTTAGAGGCTCCCTGGTAAACTGGGCCTCACAGCAAAGGTAGAAACAAAGGAAAATGCAGCAAAGCAAACGGGTTTGCTAAGCCAAGTATATCATTCAAACATGACCATTAAATCCAGAGGTAACATGAACACGGGAAGGAAAGAAACTTGTCGTATTTAACTTGAGATCAAAGTGCCAGAATCACTAGTACTGCCATATTTCAGAATGTAGACGATGGCTTGAATCCTGCTGCATAGCTTCTTCAGCATAGCATTAGTGAGGTCAACAGTAGTGGCGAATTACCACTAGGCACTGGATTTTTGAGTCTTCTTTCCACCGCAGCAAGTCCCTCACTTTAGTGGCAACCACTAGCCTGAGGAAGAAAGTGGGTGGGACTTGCCATGGGAGCTGCAAAGGATTCGGGGACTGGTAGATTTTTAGGAGGCACCCTGTATAGAGTCTAACAATCAGGTTAACAGTCTATTGATACCTTGAAGCTTCCATGGATCTTAGCAAAGACACAACTTACATTCAGTGAAACAAAAACTTGTGCAATCTGCCACTGCTGGAGACATCACTCCACTAAACTCTAGAGCTATGCAACAAGATTTTGGCTAATGTAGGTCTGAGAGGATATAAAACTTCTTTGAATACAGAGGGTTAGTAGAGAGTAACATCTAGAATCCTTCTCCATTAAAGCCTCCGTTTCTACAAGTAGAGAAGGGAGGGGACAGGAAGCAGGATTCAGCATCATTCAGTCTTCCGCCTGCATTCTGAACTGCTGCAGTCCCAAGATGGATACAGCCCTTGGTTTTTCTAAACCCAGAGATTGTTGCTTTGTCTTCTGTTCCACACATGCACATTCTTAATTGCATTTTACTCACTCATTAAAAGTATTTTTAGCTCACTGACTTTCCATTAACAGAAATGCTCAAGGCAGCTTACAAATCCAGATACAACTGCAAAACTATCAACAATAAAAGAGAAGCAAGGCAGCAGATAATAAAGCACTTCAATTAACATGTCAGGGAGAGTGGAATTAACAGCTCAGCAGGCACAACAACTGGCAGGAAACAAATGTATTGTCATGGTGGGTAATTTATTATTACATTTTAATCCTGCTGCTCCACCAAGGAGCCCATGGTTTCTCCCTCGCTATTCTCCTCACCACAATCCTGTGAGGTAGAGTGCTGAGAGAAAAAAGGGGAAAGCTGCCTCAGGAACACCCAGTGAGCTTCCTGTCTGAATGGGAAAACAAACCCAGATTTCTTCAGTTCTGCTCTGACACACAACCGCTACACCACACCGACTGTCACAAAAGAGAAAACTGAAGCATGTGTTTTCCGTGCTGCTTCTTTTGTGTCGATGCACAATACAACCTGTGAGAAAACAAAACTGACTAGTTTCCCCATTCCCACATACTCTAGATTTAAGTTCATCAGAGCCACTCCCAAGAGGAAGGGTTGACTTTCTGCTGAAATTCAACCGGTATTGCCCACCTCTCCCTCCAAGCCTATTTTTCTACGTCGATGCAGGCTAAAACATTTAAAGCTAGATTAAAATGCTAAAGTCCATTTTTGCCAAGAGCTTGAAACTGGAGTACATTTAAGAGAATTCAACAACCGGGGTGGGCAGGTGGGGGAGTTACTTAAATTATTATTCACAGTGCAAACAGATACAAAGATGTCATGACATGAACACACAAATGTATTGTGTTAAAAAAGAATCCTATGTATTCTGAAGAGGCTTCTTTATTCTCTGGATAAATCTGCCCGCAGGTTTGTTGATTCCTTAAGTTGTCACTGCTATCCAGGCGTAGATGCAAGAATACTTTCTGTCCTATACAATGGGTATTGGAAAGGCCAGTTCTAATTACAGCGTTACCCACACAATATGGCTCTGTTATAGCCTAAAAGAGGAATCTGTAAACAAAGGGAAGGGGAATGAAGATAATCATCTGGAGAAATTCTACATACAAAGTCAGATAGCACATTTTCAGATGACGAGATTCACTGTAGTATGAGCTTTCATGGATTAAACTTCTCCCGATACATGGAGTACAGTATTGAGATTACATATTTATACATACTGGGTACCTGTTTGGTGGGGGGGTAGCAACTAAATGAAATGGGATACAAAAGGCAGCAATTACAGCATTAACTCTTCTAATGAACTTCCAAAGTGTGTATTATATAAACATCTTGACAATAGGCGGCCTGATTAGTTAATGCTAGGCATCTTTAGGAAAATACACAACCTGTTCAGCTTCTTTCTTTGAAGTTTTGAAGCAATTAGTTCTGTTCTCAAGGGTTTATTGTACCAGGGCCAGAGTTTCTGTGAAAAAGAAAACAACACTTTGACTATACACCAGTGTGTGATGTGGTAAGTAGCCCTAGGCTCTATTTAAAGCTTTAATGACACCGTGGAATTTATGAATATACCCCAGTTCAGCTGGTCTCCCTCTCAAATTTCAAAAAAACCAAACAGTTGTGTATTTACCTATAGATGCTTAGCATTAGCTATTTACCTACTGCCATGATGTTTATGTAATTAAGACTTTGAATGTTCATTACCTGTACTAATAATGCAAATACCACTTTCTGCACTCCATCCCAAAACCATGTACATTGTACACCATGTTTGAGCCAATAGTCACGCTGGCATCAGGATTTTGGGAGCTCTATTCAAAGGAGGAGGAGGAGGAAGAAGCTTCTCATCTCTGACCACTACATAACAAATAAGATCAAATAAGTCATCAAGAGAGTTTGTGTCTACTGTTCAATCCCTCACTGAACCACTACGCGCCCCTACACCTATCTCTGTTACGCTGATACATCCGTTGAGTGTACAATTGAAATATGTGCCAGAAAAAGTAAGAACCTGACAACTGGAAACCAAAGCAGCCATGTATTATTACAGCACTATGTGTGTATATGTGTTATGTGCAATCAAGTCAGAGAACTGAACATGGCTTTCACAGTAAGTGAAATACAGTATTTGAGTGGTTTTACCAGTTCCACACACAGCCCAAGGGAGCTTCCATGGCTAAGCAGTGATTCAAACCTAGGTCTCTTGAGTTTTAGTCTGTCACTCTGTCCAATATGCCACAGTGTGATAGCAGAACAGGTTGCTGCAGTTGTCACCAAGAGAAAACTGCCTTAAAACTCAAATCTGAGAGGTCCCTCATGTGTTGCCAATTCCGCCAAGAGCTGGTCACTGCTGTTTGGAGTTATGTTTTGCACTTCAGACTTCTGACCTCTGGGAATGATTTCAAGACTTCAGGCATTTTGACATGAAACCCTGACATTGCTTTTGTTATTTCCCCACATTCTAATGTCACACTGAAGAACACTGTGTGTGTTTCAAAGCACCAAAAAAATGAAAAAAGCAAAGTGTGCTGCTTATTATATACTGCCCAATAGGACTTAAAACACTCTATGAAAAGTTCACAAATTAATTATGCAGGCTGCACATTGCTACCCTCCCAGCAAGCTTGGTACTCATTTTAGCAACCTCAGAAGGAGGGAAGGCCGAGTCAACCCTGAGCTGCCTACCTGGGATTGAACCCTCGGCCGTGAGGAGTCTGGCTGCAGAATGGCAGATAAACTGCTGTGCAACAGGAACATCCTTCCAAACACCACTCCCCTGCTTTCTCCCCTGGAAGAGGCCCCATCCAAAAGATATAGGGGGCTGATTTGCCAGCTGAGCTGCATCTTTTGCAGGCAGGAAGCCCCAGACTAGGCTTCTAACATCAACAATCAATGAACAGATAGCAGGTAGTGGGAAAAACCTCTGCCTGCTTCCTCAAATGCTGTGGTCAATATCAGGCTTGCTATGGTGACAGCCATCAACAACAGCCCCCCAAGAACACAGCCCTTTCTCCTAACCACACATTCACACAAATTTTTCAGTCACTTCTGGATTTGTAAAAGGGTAGAGGTGGCCATATTTGTGCTTTTACCCTACAAAAAAACCAAACATGCACACCTCTTTTAAATGGGGCCATCTTATACTAAAACAAAAGGCTGGGAAAATTACCTCTGCCCTACCTCAGACAGCACAAAGGTAGGTGGGGTTTTTTAGCTTTAAAAAAATTGAAAAAAAGAGGTTGGGCACATGGATGGAGGTGTCAGTGTATGTAACTCCTGGACGTCTGGAAGTTGCCCAACCTGGTACAAAGGTTAGGATGGGACGAGGCCCGGAGAGACCTGCGTGCAAGTGTCCTCTCTGCCTCAAGGCTCTGCCGAGTGATCTTGAGCCAGACACCCTCTCTTGGTTTGATCTACCTCACAGGGTTGCTGCAAGGATAAAGGGTAGAAAGGGACTTTGCACACTCAAATTCCTAAAAGGTATAAAGTGTTAAGATATAAAAGTCCAAATAAATGAATATAAATCTTTATTGGGCAGAAACCTCCTGCTTTCTGGAAAAATCAAGTCCTGGATTAGATGGACCCATGTTCCAACTCAGCATGGCTCTTCATAGGAGAGCCTGATTCTATGGTTCTCCACGGTGCTAATGGACTACAGTTCCCATCCTCTCACAACGTTGGCCATGCTGGCTACGGCTGATCAGAGAGCAACATCTTGTTGAATGGCCGTAAAATTTGTGTGCCTGTGTGATCACATTTAGAAATATGATACATCTTCTCAACTACAGATTTTCTGTAGGAAGAGAACAATTTTTCTCTCAGAAATCTGGCTGATGATCTCCAAAACTACCATTCAAAATGACTGTTTTCCATGTTGCATGCAACACTTCCCACTTTCCAAAGTTTAATTGAAACATGCATTTGGAATGAGAAACAAAACATGAGGGGCTGCCCTTTGAGAAAATATGTTTCAAAACCTTTGCTGATCCTCTTTAGTTTTACACTGAAAGACTTCCAAGGAAAAGATGCCATGGCAGTCTCGTTCATGATGGAGACCAAGACTTGGGAAAGTGTATTTCGCATTCCCTGTATTTGGTCTATGGTTCTCCACGGTGCTAATGGACTACAGTTCCCATCATCTCACAACGTTGGCCATGCTGGCTATGGCTGATCAGAGTGCAACATCTTGTTGAATGGCCGTAAAATTTGTGTGCCTGTGTGATCACATTTAGCAATATGATACATCTTCTCAACTACAGATTTTCTGTAGGAAGAGAACAATTTTTCTCTCAGAAATCTGGCTGATGATCTCCAAAACTACCATTCAAAATGACTGTTTTCCATGCTGCATGCAACACTTCCCACTTTCCAAAGTTTAATTGAAACATGCATTTGGAATGAGAAACAAAACATGAGGGGGCTGCCCTTTGAGAAAATATGTTTCAAAACCTTTGCTGATCCTCTTTAGTTTTACACTGAAAGACTTCCAAGGAAAAGATGCCATGGCGGTCTCGTTCATGATGGAGACCAAGACTTGGGAGAGTGTATTTCGCATTTACTGTATTTGGTCTTTGGTACAACCACAATTGACATTCAGTCAGTCACAGACAAGGCTTGTTGAGCCTGGATATCTAGGAGAGAAAGGGAAAGCAAAATAACTTGGGATCTTGATGAGCTGCAAATCATCAGAGTAGATAGTGGCAGGATAGGAAGTAAAGTTTTACTATGCGGTCATAGACCCGATTATACAAAAATAAAATACATAAAATAAACACATAGTATAAAATCTTGCAATAGTGGCAGGATAATTATGGTGATTGCCATCAAGGGTGTAGAGGTTAGAGTTCTGGGCTAGGAACGGGAAAAACAGGGTTCAAATCCCCTCTTGGCCATGAAGCTCATATATGCCAATCATTTTTTCTCAGCCTGCAAAAGGCCAAAGCAGACAAAACTTCTCAATTCAGGCGACTAAGTATCATGACCACTTCATCTCCAAAGTGAACCAAGAGTTTAAATGTAATAGAGAGCCCATTACATGTGCAATGTATACTTATTGGATTTTTACACATATAGGGAGCATGTAGATATTCTGCCCCATAAGTAGATCCAGAAGAATCCTAGAAAGGCACCTGTCCCCCTCCACACAAGACAGTACTAAACTATTCATGCTAAAGAAAATATCCACATCCACTTCTACTAAATGATACTATTGATGATCTAGAGTCATTTTGAAGGGCAATCAAGTTTTATTGATCCGTATCAACAAATCAGTCCTACCTAGCAGTCTTCGTCCCTGCCAGAAGCAGTCTTTCATAAGGTAAAAAGGTGTTAATGTCTAATTCAAGATTTTTTGTTGTTTAGTCACTAAGTCATGTCCGACTCTTCGTGACCCCATGGACCAGAGCACGCCAGGCCCTCCTGTCTTCCACTGCCTCCCGGAGTTGGGTCAAATCCATCGCAAAATGCCTTGCATTACAAGAAGGACAGCTTACAAGAAAATATTTTTCGGCAAATCCACACTTACTTACTTACTTACTTACTTACTTACTTACTTACTTACTTACTTACTTACTTACTTACTTACTTACTTACTTACTTACTTACTTACTTACTTACTTACTTACTTACTTACTTACTTACTTACTTACTTACTTACTTACTTACTTACTTACTTACTTACTTACTTACTTACTTACTTACTTACTTACTTACTTACTTACTTACTTACTTACTTACTTACTTACTTACTTACTTACTTACTTACTTACTTACTTACTTACTTACTTACTTACTTACTTACTTACTTACTTACTTACTTACTTACTTACTTACTTACTTACTTACTTACTTACTTACTTACTTACTTACTTACTTACTTACTTACTTACTTACTTACTTACTTACTTACTTACTTACTTACTTACTTACTTAATATCCTGCCTATCTGGTCAGTTACAACCACTCTAGGCGGCTTACAACATAAAAATACACAATGGGAATAGATAAAATAGAAAATGTTATTACATAATGAACACATTCAACAAGATGGGAGGCAAACAGTGGGGGAAGAAAGGAAAGGAAAACATCAGGGATTAACTGGAAGGCCTGCCAAAACATCCACGTTTTTAGTTGATTTTTAAAGATACCCAGTGAGGGAGCCGTGCGAATCTCCGGAGGTAGGTTGTTCCAGAGGCGAGGAGCCAGGAAAGGACTGCACATCAACTAAGAGGGAACAGGGAGGCACGAGGGGAGTGGCAGAAGGTGTTGCAATCTCTGTTAACCAAAAAAATGTGGCACTTCGACCCTGTACACTCTGGCTCTATTACACCTCTGAATATAATCACTCTTGATTCCCCAGGGGGCCGGAACCTTAATTGCTCAGGTGTTTACTGGAGAAAGTCTCTAAAAGCAAGGGGTCTAGTTTCACAGTGCT